GACTTTTGAGACATCAGCCAGTCACATTGTGTGGACTGTATTCAGATCCCAAGTCAAACAGACTTTTTAAAAATGTGGTCTTTGTGAGACTGTTGGAAATTTGAAGACTGACTGACCTGCAGATTTGATAACACTGGAGAATTCCTATTATTGTTTCAGATGTGGAGTGGTAGCATGGCTAATCTGTTTTGTTTGTTTTCAGAACCCTCATCTTTCAGAGATCCAGACTGAAATATTTACAAATAAAGTGATATCTTGGCTGTTATTTGTTTCCAAATAAAACAGGAAGGGAAAAGTAGGTGAGGGTGTAGGTAAAACAAATCTGCCAAGAGTTGTTGCCATTGGGGTGGGTCCAAGGAGTTTCTTTATACTATTTCATTTGCTTTTGTATATTTTCTTTTAAGACTTCCATAATAAAAGGTTTGGGATTTGATTTACGTCATACCTGAATGGTCTAGTGGTTATCCCTACTTTCTTCAGTTTAAGTCTGAATTTGGCAATAAGGAGTTCATGATCTGAGCCACAGTCATCTCCCGGTCTTGTTTTTGCTAACTGTATAGAGCTTCTCCATCTTTGGCTGCAAAGAATATAATCAGTCTGATTTCAGTGTTGACCATCTGGTGATGTCCAAGTGTAGAGTCTTCTCTTGTGTTGTTGGAAGAGGGTGTTTGCTATGACTGCGTTCTCTTGGCAAAACCCTGTTAGCCTTTGCCCTGCTTCATTCCATACTCCAAGGCCAAATTTGCCTGTTACTCCACGTGTCTTTTGACTTCCTACTTTTGCATTCCAGCCCCCTATAATGAAAAGGACATCTTTTTCAGGTGTTAGTTCTAAAAGGTCTTGTAGGTCTTCATAGAACCGTTCAACTCCAGCTTCTTCAGCGTTACTGGTTGGGGCATAGGCTTGGATTACCGTGATATTGAATGGTTTGCCTTGGAAATGCACAGAGATCATTCTGTCGTTTTTGAGATTGCATCCAAGTACTGCATTTCGGACTCTTTTGTTGACTATGATGGCTACTCCATTTCTTCTAAGGGATTCCTGCCTACAGTAGTAGATATAATGGTCATCTGAGTTAAATTCACCCATTCCAGTCCATTTTAGTTCGCTGATTCCTAGAATGTCGACATTCACTCTTGCCATCTCCTGTTTGACCACTTCCAATTTGCCTTAATTCATGGACCTAACATTCCAGGTTCCTATGCAATATTGCTCTTTATAGCATCAGACCTTGCTTCTATCACCAGTCACATTCACAACTGGGTATTGTTTTTGCTTTGGCTGCATCTCTTCATTCTTTCTGGAGTTATTTCTCCACTGATCTCCAGTAGCATACTGGGCACCTGCCGGCCTGGGGAGTTCCTCTTTCAGTATCCTATCATTTTGCCTTCTCATACTGTTTCATGGGGTTCTCAAGGCAAGAATACTGAAGTGGTTTGCCATTCCCTTCTCCAGTGGACCACATTCTATCAGACCTCTCCACCATGACCCGACCGTCTTGGGTGACCCCACATGGCATGGCTTAGTTTCATTGAGTTAAGATAAGACTGTGGTCCTGTGATCAGATTGGCTAGTTTTCTGTGATTATGGTTTTAGTGTGTCTGCCCTCTGATGCCCTCTCGCAACACCTACTATCTTACTTGGGTTTCTCTTACCCAAGATTTAAGGGACTAGATCTGATAGACAGAGTGCCTGATAAACTATGGACGTAGGTTCGTGACATTGTACAGGAGACAGGGATCAAGACCATCCCCATGGAAAAGAAATGGAAAAAGGCAAAATGGTTGTCTGAGGAGGCTTTACAAATAGCTGTGAAACGAAGAGAAGTGAAAAGCAAAGGAGAAAAGGAAAGATATTCCTATTTGAATGCAGAGCTCCAAAGAATAGCCAGGAGAGATAAGAAAGCCTTCCTCAGCGATCAATGCAAAGAAATAGAGGAAAACAACAGAATGAGACAGACTAGAGATCTCTTCAAGAAAATTAGAGATACCAAGGGAACATTTCAGGCATAGATGAATTCAATAAAGGACAGAAATGATATGGACCTAACAGAAGCAGAAGATATTAAGAAGAGGTGGCAAGAATACACAGAAGAACTGTACAAAAAAGACCTTCATGACTCAGATAATCACGATGGTTTGATCACTCACCTAGAGCCAGACATCCTGGAATGTGAAGTCAAGTGGGCCTTAGAAAGCATCACTACGAACAAAGCCAGTGGAAGTGATGGAATTCCAGTTGAGCTATTTCAAATCCTGAAAGATGATGCTGTGAAAGTGCTGCACTCAATACGCCAGCAAATTTGGAAAACGCAGCAGTGGCTGCGTTTCCAGCAGGACTGGAAAAGGTCAGTTTTCATTCCAATCCCTAAGAAAGGCAATCCCAAAGAATGCCCAAACTACCACACAATTGCACTCATCTCACACGCTAGTAAAGTAATGCTCAAAATTCTCCAAGCCAGGCTTCAGGAATACATGAACAGAGAACTTCCAGATGTTCAAGCTGGTTTTAGAAAAGGCAGAGGAACCAGAGATCAAATTGCCAACATCTGCTGGATCATCGAAAAAACAAGAGAGTTCCAGAAAAACATCTATTTCTGCTTTATTGACTACGCCAAAGCCTTCAACTGTGTGGATCACAATCAACTGTGGAAAATTCTGAAAGAGATGGGAATACCAGACCACCTGACCTGCCTCTTGAGAAACCTGTATGCAGGTCAGGAAACACCAGTTAGAACTGGACATGGAACAACAGACTAGTTTCAAATAGGAAAAGGAGTATGTCAGGGCTGTATATTGTCATCCTGCTTATTTAACTTATATGCAGAGTACATCACGAGAAACGCTGGGCTGGAGAAAGCACAAGCTGAAATCAAGATTGCCGGGAGAAATATCAATAACCTCAGATATGCAGATGACACTACCGTTATGGCAGAATGTGAAAAAGAACTAAAGAGCCTCTTGATGAAAGTGAAAGAGGAGAGTGAAAAAGTTGGCTTAAAGCTCAACATTCAGAAAACTAAGATCATGGCATCTGGTCCTATCACTTCATGGCAAGTAGATGGGGAAACAGTGGCTGACTTTATTTTGGGGGGCTTAAAAATCACTGCAGATGGTGATTGCAGCCATGAAATTAAAAGACACTCCTTGGAAGGAAAGTTATGATCAATCTAGACAGCATATTAAAAAGCAAAGACATTACTTTGCCAACAAAGGTCCATCTAGTCAAGACTATGGTTCTTCCAGTAGTCATGTATGGATGTGAGAGTTGGACTGTAAAGAAAGCTGAGTGCCAAAGAATTGATGCTTTTGCACTGTGGTGTTGGAGAAGACTCTTGAGAGGCCCTTGGACTGCAAGGAGATCCAGCCAGTCCATCCTAAAGGACATCAGTCCTGGGTGTTCTTTGGAAGGACTGATGCTGAAGCTCCAATACTTTGGCAGCCTGATGTGAAGAGCTGACTCACTGGAAAAGACCCTGATGCTGGGAAAGATTGAGGGCAGGAAAAGAAGGGGACGACAGAGAATGAGATGGTTGGATAGCATCACCAACTCAATGGACATGGGTTTGGTTGAACTCTGGGAGTTGGTGATGGACAGGGAAGCCTGGCGTGCTGCGCTTCATGGGGTCACAAAGAGTAGGACATAAGTGAGCGACTGAACTGAACTGAGGGTAAAAACTGCAGGAAATGGGGGATAAGGGAAGGCCGGCTGGATGTGGCACCCCCAGAAACAGCCTGCACGCTGGAGTTGCAACATCAGGAGTGCTGTTTGTGGAAAGAATCTGGTCTGAGCCCAGACGGTTCCCTGTAGCCAATTCTGTGATGTCAGAGTTTCACAGAACAGCCCAGACAGTGGGCCTTGGTTTGGGTCCTGTGCCCAGTCTGTCTTTAGGGTCTCATCTAGGAGATAAAAAGAAGAGGCCTGACAAAGTATCAGAAGGGTTATGTGAGCTCCTAAAGGAATGGAAGTCGCTGTCTCTCTTGAGGCTGAGTCTGTTCAACAAGCACATCAGGTTATTTTTCCCCTTTGTTTAGTCTCTCAGTCATATCCAACTCTTGCAACCCCGTGGACTGTAGCCCACCAGGCTCCTCTGTCCATTGGATTCTCCTGGCAAGAATATTGGAGTGGGTTCCCATTACCTACCCTCGGGGATCTTTCCGACCCAGGGATCGAACCAGCGCCTCCGGCATTGGCAGGCAGATTCTTTATTATTGAGCCACCTGGGAAGCCACTTTCCCCGGCATTTATGAAACTTCACTTTTTGTAGCGGGTGTTGGTAATGTTTGTTTGTCTTTGGCCGCACCACATGGCCTGCTGGATCCTAGTTCCCCAACCAGGGATTGAATCTGTACCCCTGCTGTGGAAGCACAGAGTCTGAACCACTGGACCACCAGAGAACTCTCTTAGGTTCTAAGAGAGTAAAAATACTTAAATGTATTTACAGGATCATGTTCCTTTTTGGAGATAAAACTCAGCTACTTTTCATTTACCTTCAGAACTGGTCCACTTTTCCACCAGCTGTTAAAAATAAGATAGTTCAGCCAGGGGGTATCTGGTGTCTGCCTTTCATCTCTCTCTGTTGTACTCTCTACATATTCTGTGAGTGTCCGAAGGATCGTTACATCATATGAAAACAAGTGTGCTCACTCACTCCTGCAAGGCTACAGTCCTAGGATCACCTTTTAAGAAGGTAATCTTAAGACAGAAAAAAACAAAAGGGAAACTTGCTTTCTCCAGCAAACAAATGTTTAGAACTTATTCTGAGAGTTTATAAGTCAAAATTATAAGTAAATTCAGGGTAGTTAGATGAATTGGGACCTGCACCATCTGAAATGCCTTAGGAGGCTGGCACACGGGATGACCACCATGCCTGCCTTCCTCCGCGTGTCCACTGGTGCATCTCTCAGAAGCAGAGGTGATCTTCTCATTGTCTTGCCCAGCTTGTGTGGTCTGCATGTTCAAGGGTGAGCACTCATGTTTGCCCCTGTGTGTTTTGCCAGGTGACCTTGGGAAAGGTGTTGAAAGTGATTGTCGTCATGCGGAGCCTGTTCATTGATCGAACGATAGTGAAGGGGTATAATGAAAACGTCTACACAGAAGATGGCAAGGTAAGCATGCTGGAGTCTTTTGTTTTCTCCGTTATTTTCTGTATCCCAGAACAAATGTAATCGAGTCCCAGATGAATGACATTAAACACTGGCAATCATAGCTGAAATGGTCAACAAGCATAGATTTATCAGAGTGAAGCCGAACGCTTTACAAAAAAACATTTCTCTCTCTCCCCTTGCATTTTTCATCAAGCTTCTGCTTTTTTCCTTTAAGCCTGATACCCTTAGTTGAATTTCTAATTTATCACCTTGGACCCCAGTTGCCTCATTAAATGTGTCTTCTGAGGAAATGGATTTCTTTCTTTTCTTTCCTTTTTTTTCCCCCCTCCGCCTAGTCATGCAGCACATCAATAGCCCAGGGTTCAGCATTTTGCTTTTCCGAGAACCATGAGGAAAATTCAAGTTAGTCTGACACACAGCCTGCCGACCGTCTTTTTCCTCGAAACTAAGGGGTGACCCCCAGAAGTTGCTTGTCCGTAGCAGTGCGTGTTGAATACTGCCGTTGAGAAAAGATGAGTTATTTCTGTGGGTGAGCTGTGTCATGGGACGTTCACCTGTGTGGACCCCTGATTTCTCTCGGCTGCACACTCTCCATATGGAGATCGAGCAGGAGAGGATGCTGATAGGAGCCGACAGGCTTCATTTGTGTTTGCTTCTAGAGCGTAATGAGCATTCTGCCAGAGAAACCCACCCAGGTACACCCTGGTCACTTCTGGCACTGAGCCTCCGTCTTCCCCTCTCCCTGGAGCTTTCCCTTCTTTTCATGAATCCCATTAAAATGTAAAAGTTTGTTAGTACCAGCACTTAGCACCCAACGGCCACGTTATAATGAGGATAGGACGCTCTCCAAAAACAGGTGACGAATGTAGCTTAGCACACACCTGTGCGTTATGTAAGAGGTGTGACCCATACAGTAACGAGGTCTGTATTTTGATCAGGGAACCCAGCATTTTCGAATTTCCACATTCCGCTCCAGTGTTGCCACTGTGGGCAGCTACTCTCACTCCCAGGGCTCTGCCAAGTTCTCATGAATCTCCCCATGGAGAGGAAAGATTCCTCAAGGGAAGCTTTCCCCCTTCTTTTTCAGAAAGACCAAAATGCCTCTGGAGCAAGGGCAGAGAATAAAAGTAGATAATCAGGGCAAGCATGACCTATGGTGTGCGTGACTCGCCAACTCTGATGACGAGTCTAAGCGAGAAATGCCAAACTTCTTTGCAACAGCGGAAGCAAGACTGGGTCGGGGGAGATCCTCGCCCAGAGCCCGAGTCAGTGGTCATTCTTGTGGCCTCAGTTCGTGATTTAAAGCTTCATAGTCACCCCTGGTGTGAGTCCCAGCCCGCGCTCTCCAAGGACTTAGAAATACATAAAAGCTCTGTGCTAAGAATGACTGTGCTAGGAGAGAAGCTGAGTTCAGGACACAAGTGAAGCATGCTCTGAACTTCGAGTATAGGAGCAGAGGTTTTGCCCGCTCTGCAGTACCCACATCAGCCTGTAACATGGTGTTTATTTAACTGCCCCATGCTGAAAGTGTCCAAAATCATGCAAGGGCTTTGCCACCTGGTTGATACTCAGTACATGGTAGCTGGTATTATTTTTATTCTGCACTTAAATCTGGGAGTTAGAGAACAGTCTCATGTGTGTGTGTTCTAGAGTTTTTCTCTGATTCCTCCTCCTCAGCTGTTTGAGGTAGTTCCTTCCCTCCCCTCTTCCCACTAGACTCCCAGACTTCCCGGGGACTCCTGCACTCCTGCCTCTCGGCCACCCTTGTGTCCCTGTGGTTTCCTGTGTCCCCTCGTAGAGGTCGTTCCTGATGTGTGTCAGAATCAGACCACCTCCCCAGCAGGACCTCAGGTTCAGCCTGTCCAAAATCAGCCTCAGTGCTCCTGGCCGTTGCTCACCCAGGGGGACTGTGCCAGCCAACTGCTCAGGCCTGCCTCGTCCATTCAGAGTCTGTTGGCAGGCTCTGGCGAGGCTCCCTCTTCATCCCTACAGCCGGGCGCCTCCCATCCATCGCCACTTCTCCTCAGTTCTCCTGGCTTCTCCACCAAGTTGCAGTGTTGTCCTCCTCACTTCCTGTGTCTAGTCCTGCTTCCCTCCCCTGTCTGTCCTTCACTTGGCCTCCAGAGCCGTCTTCCTGAAATACACAGTCAAGGGGGTGATTTCTTGCTCTCTGCCATCTCCCCATTGCCCAGAGGAGAAAAGTGGAATATAAGATGACGTTGGACACAAAGCAGTCCGTGATCAAAAGAGTTTGGGAAACTCTGGGTTAGAGAAAGTTCAGTGGGACTCTTGACTATAGAAAATCTTAGAGACTGGAGTTTGCCTTTGTGCCTTGTGAATCTCCCAAGAGGGGTATGTAGTATGCAGTCTTTTCCTAACCAGTTTGATCATCCATTTTTTTCCTTCCTTTATTCTTGGAGCGTGTTGTGACATTGGCATTTGGCAAAACACCCTTCTGAAAACTCTGGCTTGTAGAATAAAATCCAGACCCCTTAGCAAGACATAGAAATGGCTTGTGATCTGGCGCCTGCCCCCTGTCCTGACCTCATCTGCCATCATTGTCTGCACACGTTTTGTCTTACCTTCCAGCCTTTTGTGCTCCTTGTGGCTCTCAGAACGTTCCAGGTTCTTCCACACGCTTAACACTTGCTCTGCGCCCTTGACCTGGGGTGTTTGCACCTCCTGCTCACCTGACATGCTTACTCTTCCCTTTGCACTGATCGAACGCCATCTCTCTTCTTGTCCTGTCCCCCTTCCCCTGGAGGCCTCTTCTATAGGCACGGGCTCCAGAGATGGCAGACCTGGGTTTCCCTCAACTTACAGCACAAATTATCATCATCATTCTTCACTTCAGTAGTGTTTTGAATAATCATTTTCTGGTACTAGAACTAGTACATCCTGGTTGTTTGTTGACTTGTCTACCTCGTAATTAATAAAAATACTGGCATACTCCATGTTTGTTCTGATAGGCCTTCTACAAAGCAGACTTAACCTCCAGTGGTCACAGAATCCTAGGGACCACTGCTAGACTCATGTTTCTGATAAGGAACCTGAGACCCAGAGTGGTAAAGTGGCTGCCCCCAGTCACACACAGAGCCAGTTCTCAAACCTCCATCTGCCAGCAACTCCTCAAGGGCCCAGGCTCTGTCCTGAGTGTCTCTCCCTCCCGCGGATACACATCAGGGCCTGGAACACAGCAGAGTAATAATGTGTGGGAGGGGATAATGAAAAAGCCCCCTGGGGATGTGAAAATGCCTGAGCTGGGATGGAAAAGTGGAGAATCAGAAATTAGAGATGGGGGGGAAAAATGGAAATTAGAGAGAAGTACCAGACAAGGCAGTGGGGACTGACGTCATCACTTCAGTTCAGTCGCTCAGTCGTGTCCAACTCTTTGCGACCCCATGAATCGCAGCACGCCAGACCTCCCTGTCCATCACCAACTCCCAGAGCCCACCCAAACTCATGTCCATTGAGATCCAACCATCTCATCCTCTGTCGTCCCCTTCTCCTCCTGCCCTTAATCTTTCCCAGCATCAGGGTCTTTCGTCATAAGTAAAGAACAAAGGAGGTACACACATGTGCACACGGGTCATAGTTTCCTGATGAGAGATGAGCATGGGTCTCTGTTCCCCAGAAGGAAGGTTAATGTGTGCCCAGGAGCCTGAATTCTCCTGAGTCATTTCCCGGAGGGTACTCAGGAGGCCTCCTGCTCCCTGTTAAAACCGCATACATTGGCCCCAGTGATCTGCAGGGACCCTGAAAGAGCAGGACTGAGAGGATGGAGTCCTTTTGTTATTTTAAAGGCACATCTACCACATTTGGCACAGAAGCGCTCACACAACTGCTCTGCCCAGAAACTATGCCTAGCCAATTTGACCAGCGCCCCCTCCCCTTTTTTTTCAGAGTACTTTACAAGTGATAAAAGAAAGTCATGCAGACATTATTAGTGTTCTCTTTTTAGAAGTGATCCCGGTATATGTGAACTTCAGTATTTATATACACTTGCATTAGTGCCATCCGTGTTTTGAACCGTCTGGCGCATCCCAGATGAAACGCGGCATTCAGAAGGATGTTGGAGCTTGAGGTGTGGTCTGTGAGAGCCAGTCTCCGCCTGCAGTTGTGCTCTTCCAGAGGCACAGCCCTGCATTTGCTGAGCTGGTGCCTCAGCGCTTGCCTGGGGTGGACCACTGCCGGGACCCAGTAGCTGTGGCTTGGAAAGCCTTGCCTCGGCTTCCAAGGGTCCGAACTCCTCATGCCTGTGCAGTTGTGTCTTCCACATCCAAAGTCACCAGTTTCTAAAAGGTTTGCTTAGCTACTCTGGCACGACAGTGGCCCGGAGCCACCCCCAGTTCCCAGCTCTAGCAGGTTCCTCCCCCACCCATTACAGTCCCACCAAGCCTATCTGTCACTCGGCACTAACAACCACCACCTCTACCCTGATCATCCTCTTTACCTGGGATGTGTATTTTTGATGCCAAGCACCAGTAGATTAATTCCTCTAATAAAACACAAAAATGCTTCTAAGACTTTGCCGCCCCGCTCTGCATTGTCATCAGGGAGGAGTCCAGAGCCCTGACTCAGCATGCTAAGAGTCCGCTTGAGGTTGACTACCTGGCTGTTGTTCTGACTTCACACAGTCAGACCTAGCTGGAAAAAAATGCAAGTGTCTCCATTGAATTTATCTTATTAGGGGATTTAGGTTATGTTAATGCTATAGCTTCATTAATTACCCCATATCAATAATAAAAAAAAAAAGCAGCTTTTAGCCTCCTAGCGCAAGAGAGGAGAAGAAATGGTGGTATCAAAGGGAACCTTCAAAGACAGCCAGAGCTGTCTCCAGGGTAATTTCTGATCCCCGCATTCTTCCCACTTCAAAGTTGGATGTGTGTGTGTGTTTGGGTCGAGGAGGCTGGGGGAAGCTTGAATCTGATTTCTCTAATAAGTGTTGGCATCAGCCCCGTTTGATATTAGATGCAGGGAACATTTTGATTTGTTATAGCCTTTGAAATTGTCAGACGACCTTCAGAAAAATGGCCTCTTGTTACTGATGGGGGAAGGGGAATCCGGTGTAAGTCGTATGCCGAGGGTGCCCGGAAACGGTGCTCTCAGCATTTTTTTTTTTAGTAACAAATGTATGTCCTGATTGAAAGTGAAAAGTTGAAGAAGAACAGACCTGTAAAACTCCTTCACTTTTCTATCCTCTGGGGGAGAGTGGGCAGACTTAAGCGGATGACCCAGTAGAAGTTTGTGGCTTGGACAACTTGGATGACCGTCAAGGAATCCATCACCATTGCAGGTTTATAGCACCTCCTGACCCATCGCCTGTTGACCTTGCGGGATAAAGCTACTAGGAAATGAAAGCTGTAGATGTTGAAGTCTCTGTGAGGCTTACAAGTTTTATTTGGAAGTTTCATTGTCAGATCATTTATAGTTCATTGTAGTTTTTTTTTTTTGAAATGAAGAACTGATAACTTTCTTATGAGCTGGCATCATTTTCACTTGCCGCTAAAGGAATTTTAGTGCCGATGGTTGTCACATGACCTGACCTGGAAGGTTTGTCATCTTGAACTTTGCAAGAATGCCCCCTGCCCTTTGAACTGTGACAGCTTGGGGGGGCACCATGTGCGTCCCCTTCCATCTGGATTATAGCTGTAGGGCCCTCTTATTCCTGGGTTAAGAGCTGGGGCCTCTTTTTTTTTAAACTGTTAGGGTATAGCCAATTAACAATGTTGTGGTGGTTTCAGGTGAATAGTAAAGGGACTCAGTCATATATACACATGTATCCATTCTCCCCCAAACTCCCCTCCTCCAGGCTGCCATATAACATTGAGCAGAGTTCCCTGTGCCATACAGTAGGTCCCTCTTGGTTGTCCATTTTAAATAGAGCAGTGTGTACGTGTCCATCCCAAACTCCCTGGCTGTCCCGTCCCCCGATCCTTCCCCCAGCAACTATAAGTTGGTTCGCTAAGAATCACTGACCCGATTTTGAATTCTCTCCCACATATTAATTGTGTGATGTTGGACAAGTCACTTAACTTCTCTGAGTTCAGTTTCCTCAGCTGTGGATTGGAAATAATTTTATCATCACCATGTGACTGCTGAGAGACTTTAGAAAGATAACACAGGTCAGTGGGGCTAAGCATATAGTCATCAGCAAACAGTATCCATCCTCCCTGGTGGTGCCAGAGATGCCGATGGTGGTGACTGCCTACCGATGGGGATGTTCGGATTTTTCTCTTTGCTGAGTAAAATTGGCTGTCACTGCTGTCACGGGTTCTTCCTGTGCCTCGAGAGGACCTTTGATGTCTGACGTGAAACCTGAGAGCAGGTGTGTCTGTGCTGAAGCAGCTGGTCATTGTGGGGTGTGTTTCCATTTTACCTCAGAAGAGACCACATTCCCACCTATAAAATACTCACTCTGATCCCTGGAGTCCGACAGGCTGCTCCTAAGACGGCAGGTTCAGCCCCAATTACCGGAAAGTTGACTTTTCCATTTTAAGATCTTTCTTAGTCCTACCCAGAGTACTGGGGGGGACACTTTCATTTGTTTTTCTTGACACTATAGTTCAGAATCATTTCTCATTCATGGGGCTGAAAGCTTTGTAGCTTCCAGAATCCTCATTTTTGAGTATTGCAGCCAACAAAGAATCAGTAGCCATGCCCTCCTCTGCGACAAATAAGCTGAAGCTAATAAATATGCACTTGGCTCCATCCCGGCTCCCTGAAATGAATTTCTGAAATCTTCTGGCCCTGAGGAGAGGCAGGGCACTGACTTCAGAACACTTGCTTAAACGGCTTTCTTTGGCATAAATCTAGCAGAAAATCAAGGACAAACTGCCTGCTGTGCCTTCCCAGCAAAGGGGGAAGCCATTGTCTTTGGATCCCTCTCTCAGCCCCGCGCACCTGGGAGACAGTTGTATTCCTAATGTCCTTCTATCCCAGATGGTCAGAACCAGTCCCTGGGGTCCTGAATAATGTATTTAAACCGCCTTCCAAAAGAGCAGTGTGCTCACTTGGAATGAGCAAAGTATGTTTTGAGAAATCACAGTTTAGCTAGAGGGTCCACCCCTTAATTAAACCTGTGCATACTTCTCTCTGGATAATTTTTCTATTTAAAACATTTTGCAGGTTCTTGGTTTTTTTTTAATATATGTATATAATTTTCTCTTTTAAATGAAGACTAACTTTTCAGTCTATATGCCGATTCTTCCTTTTTTCTCTTTCTGTGGCCCTGTGTTTGTGTCTGCCTGTGTGTGATGGGAACAGACAGGAAGGATAAGCAGCAGAGAACTTCGGCAGCAGCAGCTGTGGGCTGAAAATGGAAAGAGAGCTAGATTCGTTCCAAGTTCAGACACTGATGTGACTTTTCCCAAAATTTAGATTTAGAATCTTTGGCATCTCCCTGTCATCTTGGCACTGATCTGGTAAAACTAAAAGATACAAAAAGTCGTTCTCATTCCTTCCCCAATGTCTGAGTAGTCTTTAAATGTAATGTTTGTGAAGCTCTGGGCTAAACTGCGACACTAAGATCATGATATGAACCTGACTTATCCTCCCAAATATGACCAGCTGCCTAGCAATTTTCTTCAACAGAACTGCCAGTGTAGGGGATTAATAACTTCATATGTGTATTTGGAGGTTTCCTTCAGAGTTATCTGGGGGTAACATGTCACTTTTCTCCCTTCAAATTGCTAACCTATCCAACTGAAAATCTAATGTCTGAAGATGTTTAAAATTCTTCATCCATCCATTAGCTTAAAGTGCGGGGCAGTGACTAAAAACTGACACCCTCTTTCTGGAGAGCAGTTCAGCCAGAGTGGAAGGAGAGGGGTCAGGTGGGGGCTTCTGTGGAAATGCAGGGAGGAGGCGGTTCTGCAGTGGGCGTGGTGGGAAGCAGACCGATTGAAATCAGTGTTCAGTCACAGCTCTTCCTTCATTGTTCCTGGGCTTGGATCTGCTAAACTTACCCTCTCCAACAGGAACCTACCAAGGACCAGAGAGGGTGGGGGGCTCCTCCAGACCACCCAGGAAGAGCCAGAACGGCACGCATGCCTATTCCCAGCCCAACCTTTCCCTTCCGAGGACGGCTTTCAGAAAGCCCTCAGAACAGAGACAGAATTCCAGCCTGCCCCACATCAGGCGCAGCGCTTCCGGTCTCCCTAGAGCAGCCTCCCCAGCTGACGGCTCCTTATGCTCCCAGTCGTTCAAGAGTCAACACACAATACACAGGCTGAAGTAGCCGTGTCTCAGCTTCCCACCATGACCACCGGCCAACTCCAAAGGCAGATTTCAAGAGGCCCACTGACCGGGCATTTCAGTTTGCTCCACTCTTGAACTCGTATATTAAGGCTGACTTCTGAGCACCCGTGGGACCTCCTGACAGCCCCTCTTTTAATCTGCACTGTTTCCTCACTGTATTGGGGGTAGTTCTGTTTTTGCCATACTCCCTTTTGTTCTAACCTCTTGAAACAGTGAGAAGGCATTGATTTAACTTCTCATACAACCTGTCAAACCAGAGTGGCTTTGGTTAGACTGAGCCACGGAGCATCCCGTGCAGGACCGAGTGTGGCCCAAGGACTGGACTCTAAACTCTGCCCACATTTCATCTCAGACCTGTTTCCCCAACCAAGGGTTCCTGATACAGGGCTTCATCACAGTGAACCTATGGAGCCCTGTGAAAACAAATGGACAAATCAGTATATCCTCGGGCCCACTCCAGACCTCCTAATTCAGACATTCCAGGGAAGGGACCAAGAAATCTGTAGATTGAAAAACAAAAAATTTCCTCAGGGCCTCTGATGCCAGCCAGGTTTGAGCACCACCAAGCGAACCCATCCATAAGAAGCTTCCCCAGATTACCATGGGCAGTCTAATGGCTCCAAACGCAGTTTCACCATCTGGGAAGGAAGGTTGCTGATAGGACCAGCTCCCCAGGCTCATCCTGGGGAGTGGCGGGGCAGGGCACATGGAAGGCCCAGTGCGGGCCTGGCAGGGAGCAGGTGCTCACCAGCGGGAGTCTGCTTTCCTCCCCGTGTACCTGTGACATGTCCCGTCCTGTGCCGGGACAGTGCAAACAAAAGAAAGCAAGTGTCAGTCAGTTCTAAGTGTGATGAAAATATTTAGTTTTTGAAAGGATAAAGAGAAGCAAGACAACAGGTACGGGGATGATACTTTAAGACAGAGGCGGTGCCTCTCTGACAAGTGATGTTTGAGCCAAAGGATGCGTACAAGGAGCTGTGCGAGGGTTTGTGGGGGAAGCAGTCCAGGCACCACAGGCGCAGAGGCCCTGGGGCAGGGCTGACCGTGGCAGTCGAGCGATGCAGGAGCACCGAGGTGGGAGTCAGTGTCAGAACAGTGAGCCCGAGGCTCAGCTCATGGGCCGTGGGGGCGGCAGGCACCTCAAGCTGACTTCTTTATGTCTCTTCATTTCATCTCCTTAAATCACCACAGTTGATAAAGAAGAAATCCCAGCATGTGTTTTTCTTATAGTCATAGGATTTTTTCAAGCCTAGTAACAGTAGTTACAATATCATTTCTTGGAGTCCACAGTTCTAAAATTGATGCTGATATTTTATCTCTTTCCCCCCACAGCTTGATATATGGTCCAAATCCAACTATCAGGTGTTCCAGAAGGTGAGTTTTCCTTTTTGCTTCTTCCTCAAGAGGCTTTTAGGGAAATGCAATGACTTCGAGGTGGAAATATTGGTCTTAAATCAGAGACCTTTTAAAAAGTGAAAAAGCCAGACCCAGAAGTCTGCTCACTGTGGGATTCCATTTATGTGACATTCTGGAAAAGACAAAACATCAGTGACAGAAATCAGAGCAGTGATTGCCAGGGCTTGGGAGTGAGGGCAGGAGATGGTCCCCGGAGGGGTATTGAAGAACATGTCTGGGTGATGGAAATATTCTTTGTCGTAATTATGGGATCACACAACTGTATGTTTCAAAACTCACAGACTATATGCCTACAAAGGGCAAATTTTACTATGTAACAATTATACATTTAAAGAAAAAATCAGAGGCTTTTGAGTTCTCCCAAGATCAACCCACAGTTTTGTTTGTTTATTTCTTTCTTTTTGGCTGTGCTGGGTCTTCGTTGCCATGTGCGGACTATCTCTAATCGCAGGGAGCAGCGGCCACGCTAGCTGTGGCGTGCAGACCTCTCACTGCGCTGGCTTCTCTTGTTGTGGAGCGCTGGGCTCCGGGGCCTGTGGTCTTAGTGGTTGTGGTGCTTAGCTGCCCCCCGCCCCCAGCATGTGGGATCTTCCCGGACCAGGGATTGAACCCTTGACTCCTGCCTTGGCAGGTGGATTCTTAACCACTGGACCACCAGGGAAGTCCCACTGCACAGTTTTTAAATTCAGTTTCCCACAGCCCTGTAATCTACACACGTGCCTAAAGGCTGGGCTGAAGGAGGCAGGCTGGCCCCACCCTCACCCTGCCCCCACCCCCACTCTGCACTGCAGTGTGGGGTACATCTTTTTCAGGTGTCGGGCTCCCTGAAAGAGAAATACTATCTGGGAGATGTCAGAAAAAGAGGAAATGTGACCAGAGAAAATCCATCTCCCAGCTCCCAGTGGTGGAAGGGTCCCTTCCCTGGACCAGCTCAGTACCTGGGGCTTCTGAGGGCTCCTCCCACCATGCTCAGGCCAGCTCCCCTGCAGGGCACCAGCCTCCTTCTTCTGTGCCCTCCAGCCTGTCTCTGCTTCCGACCAGCCGTGCAAATGATAGAGGAGGCCGTCAGTCCGCTTGTTCCCTCCTCGTTCAGCAGCGGTTATTTATTTGCCCCTTTGCCGTGTGCGGGTTCTGGGCTCAGTGCTACAGGGGAAACAAGACAAAGGGAGAGAGGGTCAGGAAGGGACTCCAGGCTGTTACCTGGGGGCTGTGGTCAAGGACAGGAGGGCCTCCTTCACCTCAGAGTGATCACAGGAGTCCTTTATGCAACATGAGGAGGCAGGTGGAGAAGCCAGCCGTATAGAAGGCCGCGGGAAGAGGGTCCCAGGCTGAGGAAGAACAGCGCCAAGCCCCGCGTGGGGGGACTTGGCGTAGCCCTGCACCACCGGGGCCCGTGTGATGGAGCAGACAGACGGAGGGCAGGTGGGGGAGAGTGGGATTTGGGGCCTGGCCAGCAGGTGCCTCTCAGTCTTGGTGCAGAACTTGAATTTTATTCTCAAATCAGTGAGGATCCACTGGGGAGGGATTGGTGTGGAGGAAGGACAGGATTTTCAGAGCTGGGTCCGAGTTAGCCCACTTGAGTAACAACTGTGTCCAGGGTACGCCAGTAGCTCAGCATAGGATAGTGGTGGTGGTTTTTTCAATTGAGGCGAAATTCATCTAACAAAACTTACCATTTCTAATCGTTTTACAGTCAGCAGTTCCATAGCTTTTAGTACTTTCACAGCATTGTACAACCATCACCTCTGTCAAGTTCTAGAACATTGTTCTCATCCAAAGGGAAACCTTGTTCCCATTAAGGCCTGGGCCCTGGGCTTCTTGGGCTTCCCTGGTGGCTTAGGCGGTAAAGGTCTGCCTGCAGCGCAGGAGACCCGGGTTCAATCACTGGGTCGGGAAGATCCCCTGGAGAAGGAAATGGCAACACCCTCCAGTACTCTTGCCTGGAAAATTCCATGGACTGAGGAGCCTGGTAGGCTATAGTCCATGGGGTCGCAAAGAGTTGGACACGACTGAGCAACTTCACTTTCTTTCTGGGCTTCGTATCAAAGGAGCATGATGGACCAGCCTCTGATGGTGACTGACGTACCTCAGTTCACAGCGCTCTCTGGACCCCTCTCCAGTGAAAGGGGGAAGCCAGAGATAGATGTCCAGGCCTGGGGAGGGTCTGAGGCTCACCCCCACTTGTCTGGGGAGCGTGTGCAAGCAGGAGAACATCCTGGTCTCATCACGGCTATGTGCACTGTGCTGCCCCGGATTGGATCCTGAGCCAGAAAGGACTTACTAATGGAGAAACTGGTGAAATCCAAATAAAGTCTGGGCTTGACTCAGTCACAAGTAACCAACATTGGTTTCTTGGTTGTGATGAGCCTACCTGATAATGACAGATGCTAACAGCGGGGAAACTGGGTAAAGGGTCTGTGGGAACTGTATGTACCAATTCTGCAGCGTTTCTGTAGGCCAGAAATTAGTCTGAAATTTAAAATTCATCTTAAAAAGAAAAATCCTAGTGTGGACTTTTCTAAACACGTCTTTACCCAACTGAGGTACCCAGACACAGAAAGGAAAAAACAGCCTCCCTCTCTGGGTCCAGCCCCTAAAGGAAAGACGTCCATAGTCACGTGAGGCTAGCATAGGCGACACCGTGTTAATCCAGGTGCTCTTATCTAGGCGACCAGACCCACTATACCTGTTCAGCTCACACAGAGCCTCGGCCTTAACTGCTAACTCTGTCCATGCCAACGGCTCTTGTCGTTTCTCCCCCAGGAGCTGGTTGAAAAGCATTCTGAGGAGAAAGAACGCTGCTTGTTATCTGTATCTTGTTTCCCTCTCACAGTGAGGAACATTAAAATGGTTTGGATTTGTTTTGTTTTTTAACCTGGTTTATCTTCGCGTCCTCTGGTGTTGCAGTTCGTTACTTTCTGGCTCCAGGGAAGGCAGGCCATGACTTCAGCCCCTCCCCCGCCTGCCCCCGGCCCCCCAGCATCACGGACGGATAACCCGGGATTTTAACAATGGTCCAATTTCCATTCAAATACCCTTCATGAGGGAGGACCTTGCCCAGGCTTGCCTTGGCAAATAAATTTCTTAACGTTCTGTGTGGTATTAAGTATTTTTGAATGCAAGTGGAAAGTTTATTAGGAAGTTGTAAAATGTGTGAAACACAGATTTGGTGAAGCACGGATTTAGAGAGAGAGTGCTATGTATGTATTCTACTGCCCCTAAAAATAACCTGCCAATTGTTCTTTATATGTCTTTAAAACTACAAACACGGTGCGGCAGGGTTTAAAATTTGATATTAGCTAGTTGGAGAGACTCTGGCGCACCCACCACTTCCCTCTTTGTAGTTGATGTAACCTGTTCGAAGCAGTGCAGGTGGAAGAATTGGTAGAGATGGGGATTTTCTCTCAGCTGGTGAATGGCGTGCTGTCTGTGTTTGTTCAGAGCAGTCGTCCCTCCCCTCACCTATATTTTAACTAAATGGACTTGACCTCTGAGACTGACCTGCACTAGATTAAAGAGTGACAATTTGGAGGCAGGAGAGAGTGCTTTCTGATGAGAAGGAAAGGCAGGTGATGTTAAGGTCCTTTTTCTCTTTTCAGGGGCAGGTAATAGTTACTGGATTACAGAATCCACTTCCTTCCCTCCCGAAACATTGTCTCTTTGCTGTCAAATGAAGAAATATATTGGAAAATGACATAGCACAGAATTGAGTTGAATCCTTTATCATCATAGTCACATGGCAGGGCGTCGGGATCTTGTTCTCTTGGGAGACGCTGGTGAAGAGGATGAGGAATGTGTAGTGTGGAATCACGGCGGGGCAGGGTTGTGACCGCACTGGGCTTACTTCATTGTGCTCGTCTCAGGCCCTGTTGGAGGTCGGAGGGCAGCCCTATCTATGCCACAACTAGACCGCCCACTGAAAGCAAGGCCGGGGCCATATGTTCCCTACGAATTCTGAAGGCCAGGTCCAATTGATGGGATGATGTTCAGCATTTCAAACTCAACATGCCAAAGGATGAGATGAGGTGGTGGCATTTCCCAACTCTGCTTTTAGTATCAGCTTTTTCTTAGAATTCTGCTTTCTTCCTGTCCGCCCACGTAAAGTCTAGGTGTCCTGATCAATGTTTCTTGTAGTGTTTTCCAGAAGGACGCTGCTGGGCATCGCAGTGGTAAGCCTTCCCTTCTGCCCGTCATCCGCCCACTGACGCCCACCCAGCAGCCTGACCAGGGGAGACTCACTGAGCAACCCTGATCCAGGAAGATCGACCTGGAATAGAAGTCAAAGTGACCGAGAAAGTGTGAGGTCAGGGAGGATCCTTGGTCACCAGCGAGAAGGCATTTCTCGGGCAGGAATGTGTCCTAACCGTGTAGGTAGATGGCGGAGCTGAGCCCCTGCGCTGAGGTGGGGACACTGGCTGCCAGAATGGCTGTCCAGGCATCGCTTGGGGAGCTCTCTCTGCATTGCCCTGGGGTCGAGCCCTAGCACTCCCTTTCCTAGGCACTCATTATGTGGTTGCAGTTGCTGCAGATCGTGTGTGTTTTCTTGCCCACAAGAAGCAGCGGTGGCCACTGCAGAAAGAGGCCTGATGGGAAGGCGGAAAGCCCTCCCAGGTCTTTCCCCGTAAAGTGACAAAGCTGGGGCTGGGAGGGGGCATTGACTCACAGAGCCATGCCAAGCTCACAGTTGCCTTTTTATTTCTGGAAACTCATAGCTGTCAAATTCTCCTCGGTCTGATCCTGGCTCCCCAGGTTAAAGACAGGCACGCAAGGTACCAAGGTAAATCCGACCCCCGGAAGCTAGCATGACCTGCCTTTTGTCTGCTACAGGGCCTGTCGGCAAGCCCTTTCCCTCATCCTCATTAGCCCCCTTCCCCGGTGGTGGGGCGCAGTGGAAGGCCAGGGACAGCTGGCCGTGGGTCCGCGGCTGCCAACAGGCCCCCGTCATTTACCATGGTGCC